TCAATGGGCTCTTCCAGATCGTCCAGAACATTTCTCCCAGGGACCAGTTTACAATCCTGCTTCATGATCACTGGCTTTAATGGGAATGGCTGTTGAAGGGGCAGGGGGTATTCCATTATCAGTGATTTCAATGATGTAAAAGGCTAGGAAATCTACTTCACACAAGGACAACCATTGAACATGGAAGGCATACTTCGCTTGGTATAAGGCAAAGAACTTTCTCCCTCAAAACATTCTCAGTGGAATGAATTCCAGCCTTTCTACAAATAGGCCCACGTATCATCAGCATGATCCTCATTTGGCTTTTGCACACAGTTTCTTTCATGTGGCTTCCCATGTACGATCCCCTGTGACTCTGTGGAATCTGAATTTGGTTCTCTCTGGTCTCTTCAAAAACCACCTTTTGAGTCTTTCAGGGATCTTTCCTTTTTTACTCTTTTCTTTTTCTCCTTTCTTTTGCTCTTTTCCCATATTTGCAGGCTGTTACTTGATCTTCTATTCGTGCATTCTCCTAGATTTATCAGGTGTATATTCAAGCCTCATCTGATGTCAGCTTTAGTACTTTGGGCCGCAGGCAGTCCCCAGTTCTGTTGTTTTTGTAAGCCTGTTAGTGTTCACCTTTCCAGGTGGACTACTTTTGGACATCCCAGCAGCCTCTGACTTTCTGTTCCTCAATGAATGCTACAGAAAATGGAATGTTTGTACATACCATTAAATCAAACTGTTGTTCATTGAAGGGCTTGGGTACTGTTTTGCTGCAAACCTGAGGCATGCCGGCAGTAGGGGTTAAACTGGGCTGTCTATGCATCTTCAACAGTCTATGCATCATTTGATATATCAATGGTACACACTGGGGAAAAAAATACCCTTGCAGGGGTCCGCCCTTCTGCACTGTAAGGATAACTGCTCTTTTTTTCCTAGGGCATGGTGAATAGCATGATAGACTTACCTTGTTCCTTGCCTCTGCCGTCCTATTCCCCTCTGTAAAACTGATCCCCCAAAGCCTACTCTCTTTGCAGTCCGACCAGTCGCACCTCTAATGCCATCCTGTGCAATGCAGGACCAGCAGTCCTGCATTCCATGTGAGGTCGCCAGGAGGCTGCCCAAGAGGTTGGACATCAGAGGAGAGTTCCTGCTGAAGAGAAGCGAGGCGTAAGGTAAGTATATTACTTTATTCATTGTCCCCTAGGTGAAATGAAGAGTTAACTCATGCAGTGCACTGGGGAACCCACTGCAAGGATTAATGTCTTCATTTTTTTCCCCCCTAGAGTTCAGCTTTAATTTAGTTAAGAGTATTGCTGACATTCCAAATGCTCTGCGTTTAAATAATGGCCAATACGATACAGGTCTACTACTGTAGTAGGCAGGTAATTTGGTATGGACAGCATCACTTAATCTAATGCGATCCATTGAATATAAGCCTGTGATTAAAGGCTTTGTAGGCTAGTATTGGTTGTTTAAAAATAAATACTTTTAACAAGCTGTTACCTTGAAATTTATTCTGGTAAATTACCAACTGAAAACTGTTTGTTACTTTTTCTAATTAAAAATGTAATTTAAACAAGTTTTCAATGGAAACTTTAATTGCTAAAACTGCATTAAAGGTGCATTAATGTTCCCTGCAATAAAATTAGTTTAAATGTATGAATTTGATATGCTTTGCCCCCTTTGCTTTACTATATTTTTGAAAAGAACAAATTAAGCGCATGTGAAACTGCTTTTGAACTTGAATAAAAAAAAATAATCTTAACTTTTTTGGTGTAAACATCAAAGGTCCAGAAAACCTAAATCTGATACTGAGAAGTGTATAATAAACATAATGTATGCAGTATGATCCAGTCAAAAATGTTGTTAGGAGATGGCACTCTTTTATCTGTTACAAATACCATAGTGCAAGGTTGATTGTGCAAGACACTTGTATAGAGTTTTTAAAGCCCAATTGAACCTTATAAATGTATTCCTGTAATGCGTCAGGCTCCCAGGAGGTGCATTGACTGGAGCTGTATGACACTAGAATGAAACTAAAAAACTACATTTCTTTGTTGTTCCTTGACGGACATGGGATTCAGAGACATTTGGGTTATACTGCTCCCTACAGGAGGATTTGGACACTGGCAAACAAAAATCAGTGACCAGCCTGGTATAACCCCTCCTACTTCCAGCATGACTCTGTTTTTTGCTAGTGTCCTAGGAAGATGGATACCCTTTCTCTACTGAGAAAAGTTTAACTGTTTTTACTAGCAATCTTTTTTTCTTTTTCACAAGAATTTTTTTTTTCTTCAAGACTTGATCACATGCTGCTTGAGTTAGTCTCTTTATGCAGCTATCCAGATTGGTGTATCCTCTGCGGTAGCTTAGGAGGCAAAGTCCTACCCAGATGATTGCGTTGCTTGTCTGGAATGTGACCTTTGGACCACTTCCAATTGCACAAGACATGTGCTTGCACCTCGATTATTCCTTGCTGTCCTCCTACAGTGACCATGTCGCCTCCGGCCATTTTAACCTTTCCTGCTCCCAGCAGTTGGTTTGTAAGTGCTTAAGGAATTTTCTTTGATTAGTCCTAAATTGTTTCTGTTGTGGACAACGTCAAGCAACAAAAACAAAGGGAATTATCCCACTGTACTAGGTCATTCCAGCTCCCAGTCCACTACCTGTTCGGGGTGGCCTGCAGCCTGGAACGTTGTCCACTCCACAAGTTCTCACATTCCTTGGAGTCTTCCTTGGCTCTGTCAAGTGTGGATCCCTCCATGGGTTTATCACGGATGGATTTCCCTGCAGTTATACAGGATAATATGGGCAAAATTGCAATGTTAATTGCTTACTGTGACTGCCAAGGCCACAAACGTACATCTATGCTTTCCTCTGCAGAATGATTACCTGATCTTCCTGCATCCATAGTGGCCTCTGGGTCTCCAGTTGTGGTGGCTCTCTGACAGAGTTTTAAAGATCCCTTTTAAAGATCAGGTTGTCTTGGCCCTGGTGGCTTGGAAACACAGCTCTGGAGTTTGGGAAATCAATACCTCTGATCTCTTGAAAGATCTTCACAATAGATGCCAACCTGACAGGCTGGGAAGGAGTCCTAGACACCCTGATGGTGCAGGGGGCTTGGGGAAAGTAACACACTCGATTACTGCAGTGGCTTACAATACCTATCAAGGATATAAGGAACTATCAACTGTTTACCGGATTTGTGAAGGCTGCATTCTGATTTTCTGTTCACATGTTCTCTATGTTTTACCAGGTGGATGTTCAGGTCTTATCTGTTGCCTGGTTTACATGTAAGGTCATTGAGGTAGCTCTTTAAGCTGCAGACAGTTTCCAGCTCTATTAGTTTTGTTAAGTAGGCCTATTAGTGTTTAGTTTTTTTTGCTCACCCCTCAGTTGGACTATTTTTGGAGGTTTCAGTTGTCTCCGAATTACTGAATCCTATGTCCCTTAAAGGATTACTAATGGTCGGGTGTTTTTTTTAACCTTTTAATAAATTCTCTACAAAATGGTACAAAATGGCCAGTACTTTTCAGC